TGTGCAATATGATAGTCATTAATGTGCAATTTGTCTAACATTATCATGCATACATGCATTTTTCAATAAATTTAGTTTGGTCGGTTTTTGTCGATAAAGTACAATATGACAGTCATTAACGTGCAATCAATCTAACACTAGTGTGCACCCGAGAAGTAGCATTTTTAATGATATTTGCCCAAACCATACTAAAACCCGAAATAATCGGTCTGCTAACTGAATAAACTTAATAATCTAAATAATTTATAATTTATGTTATGAATATATATATATATAATATTTTTATATTTATTTTTACATTGTTTCTTTCTTTTTTTCCGTAAAGACCTATATATATATATATATATATATATATAACAAATTAACATTTCTTTACACAGTTATACCGTTAGGTTATTTAAAACAATAAATCTGACATTATGTATATCTATTGTTTAATTAGATTATGTGAAAATTTTGGTGGGAGTTATCAATGTTAATGGTAGGGTGTTATGATAAAGTGCAACGTGCTATTTTATAAAGTGCAACATGTTGTTTTATAAAGTGCAACGTACCGATATATAAAGTGCAATACATAGGTGTGTATTGAATTACTCTGTTTATTTGACCATTTACTCGATTTACCCAAAAGCCCGTAAATTGTTTCCAATTTATTATAAAAAAATTATATTTCATAAGTTAATATTTTTTTATCGTCGTTTTCAACTGGATATAACAATATATTAACATAAAATATATATAAAATAAAAATATCTTTTTATATAGTTCGGTTGTTGTGTTTATTTAAAAATAACTAAATCCGACATACCAACTAATATTATTCTATCGATCATTAGAATTATTGTAATTTTAGTATGTGGAATGTGTCGCGTTATAAGGTGCAACCTATTGACGTATAAAGTGTAATGTATTGATGTATAATGTGCAGTACTGGAATTCTGACATTTTAACGGGATTTTGTTTTTTTTTTTTCGCAGATATATGAGGTGATGGATAGGAAAGTATTATGTCGCTCCATTTTTTTTACGGGAGTTTTCGATATTAATTGTGGAGTGTAGTTATAAAGTGCAACGCGTTGTTTTATAAAGTTCAATGTATTGTTTTATAAAGTGCAATATTCCTTTTTATAAAGTGCACTAATTTATAATTTCCCATGTGCATCCGGAAACTATTTTAATTAGATATAATTTTACATTTAAATAACCTAAATAATTATAATATATTTTCATCTATTATTTTTATTATATAATTTATTTAGTATTATAAATCATTTAATAATTTATATTAATTTTATTTAATGGTTTATTTGTTATTTAATGTATATGCACAACAATATATAAAAACCCATTTTCTAATAACTTTCAATATTTACAAATTTGACGCATGGGGTTAAATTGAAATATAATTAAGTTTATAAAATTTCAAATAGATCCTTAGATTTCATCTAATTCTCAAAATAAAATGCCAAACGCCACAATTTACTTTCACAGCCACACACCCCGTATCACCATCTCTAACGCCGACCAGGGTGGCTCGAGCAGCCGGAGGCGGCGAAAATCACGACGACCTCGAGAAAGCAACAGAGTCTTTCGGCGACCGGAGACCGATCTCCCGCCCAGCCACAAAACGATGTCGGATTTTTGACGGTTTGCCGCCATTCTTCAACGCCGGCAATGGTGTCGACGACCTAAGATTCGAGACACCTCAAGAAAATAGAGTCGTGGCGGAGTGAGTGCAACCAATACTCGAAGAGCGATGTGGCTGTCACAACCGTCGGGAAGTGATTGCAACCGGAGACAAATTTGGCGAGAGAACGACAGAGCGTGGGATGCTCCAAAGGTTGCAGGGGTGCTCCAGCGACGACGGGGATGCTCAGGCGGCGGTGGTATTGCGGAAGAGATGCTCCAGCGACGGTGGTCCTGTGTGGGTGTGTGTGACTATGTATGTGTGTGTCCGTGTGAGTGATTTTTGTGTGTGTGTGTGAGGTGTTACTGTGTGTGTGCATGTTTTTGTGCCAGAGAGAAGACTTGATGGGATGGGGTGGGGTGCAGGGGGTGG